TAGGCTTCACTCGATATCGTGTTAGTGCACTGCCGCCCTCAGCGGTCTGTGGTGTTGAGACTGGGGACTATGTTATCCCAGGAACAGCGGATGAAAAAAGACCATGTATTGTATATATTCGTCACGCAAGCCCCTCAGGCAAGCTGGTATTCGACACGCAAGCCCCTCAGGTAAGTGCCGGGAGCACACCGCCGTGTGCTCCCGGGGGCCCCGCACTTGGACCACAACCGCATACATACCCTCACACCCATACTTCCCATACGCGTATCCCCCACAGAGGATGCACAGATCGGACTCATATCCAAGTACCACAAACATGTACTGCTCGGGAAATCGTGCAAAAACAGAACTTTCGCTGACGCTATGGATCCATTGCTAATCTGTCTTACATAGTAGACGGATTCGGTGGGTCATACTGAAAAATGAAAACATATTCTTGCTGATGGCGGCGTGACTTTTCTCCAGCAAGGACGGTTTCATGTCGGTAATTGTTGTTGTTGCTGTCTTCACAACTAAAACCGTTTTAGTCCTGGTCCAACTGACGTACACGCCTCCTGTGGTCACAAGCCAACTCCGGGCATGTAGGCATACACTTTTCTAGCAAAGAAAATGGATCCCAGAATAGTCATCCAACACGCGATTTACCACCAAACGAAAAAGAAAACTATCTGGGGCACGATCGACTCCGGTCAAAAGGGGTGAAAGGAAAGAAGAGAAAAAGAAGCAAAGGAGAAGATGTGAAAGAAAAACGAAAGCATATCACAAATGTATGCACGTCCCCTTCAACTCTCCACCGGAGCAACGAAAAATAGGCAACTACTAACGCGACACCAAACAAATGAATGAATGACTTACGACGAAAACAACCATCACATCGGAGGCATACAGTACCTCCGTCCAACACCTGGACCGTCGACGATCCCAGGTGCGCTCCATCCTCCCAGCTGTGCCCCCATCTCCCGGACGAGAAACGCGAGTGAGCTCGCGCGGCCGCGCACCTTCCTGTGCGGCCACAGAAAAACCCCGAGTGGGCGGATGTTTTACGCATATGCGGCCCGGGGCGCGGCGGCGGTTGCCGTGGCACGCCCCAAAGGCCGGTGTGTTTTTCTTCCCAGGCTTGCCCCGCAAGCGCGTCGCGTTCTGGGACGAAGCCATCCTGGGCGACCACCCAATGTGCCACACCCTCCTTTCGTACCTGCGGGACGGGATCAACTTGCAAGAATTCCTCATCGACTCCAATCGAGGGCCTTCGGCTCAGTAGTAACCGTACAACGTCGCTAGTTTCCGGCAGGCAGTATTCCCCAACCGCATCCCGTCGTAGTTCCGTATGTTCGTGGAGTCGGAGGCTCAACCGCTCATCGCCCGCGGATGCGTCGCAAAATGGAGCAACGTCAAGGGACCGGTGGGCCCAGCACGGCCCCGTGTGAAAATGGCTCTGTCGGTGGAAGAGACAAAGCCGCGCCTCAGCTTTGACGCGCGGCCGCTGAACCAGTTCTTCCAACCTATGCCTTTCTCCATGAACACCGTAGCGCGGGTGGCTAACATACACGGGTGGCCAGAGGCAGGTTGTGCGTAGGTTGGGGCACCAACTACAACCTGGGGGGGGGGGGGTTGTAGGGTCGATGCAGCCCAAAGCGTGCAAGTTATCCCGCATCTTGGATAGTGGCGTTATTGCAGTCAATACGGCGGGCTGCAAGCCTGAAGAAAAAATGGGTTCAAGGTCGAACTCGTCCTCCCAACCTGCCCCCCCCCAGGTTGTAGTTCGTGCCCAACCCGCCCCCCTGGCCACCAGTGTAGCGTTGCCAGGTTTTGTTCATGACCTCCCTGGAGTATCCGAGCGCCTTCCACCATATCCTCATCCTTTCCTCTTCCAGGCCCCTTGTCGGCTTCGAGCACGGTGGCGTGGATTATGTTTGGTGCGCCCTGCCATTTTGGCTGAGGGTTAGCCCGTTCGTCCACTACACCCTCAGCGAGGCGAAAGCAGCATTTCTCCGCTCCTTGAGAATTCCGGCGTTCCATACCTGGACGGCTCCTTCCTTACCACGTCGAATCCACTCAGGGCCAAACAGCGCAGGAGTCGGGGTTCGCGGCTTGCGAAGAGACGCATATTTCCGTCCTGGTCTCCTACTTCTGCGGTAACTAACTGCTTGTCGACGAAGAAGTGCGACTGGCGGTCGACGATGGTCCAATATTGCCTGGGCATGTTGTGCGACTCCACAACAGCGACGTTTCGGGTGCCGCAAGACAAGGCGGGTGCACGGAATTATTCAAGAATCTCTAGCAGCTGGCACCACCTACTTTCGGACGCTTCAACGGGTGGCCGGCAAGGTCGCGAGCATGGTTGTGTCCATTCGACCGACCTCGCTGTGTAGCCAGGCTATGTTTGCCGCTTTGACAGCGCTGGAGCGATCGACCCAGCGTTCGGTGGATCCTTCCCTTGGCTCGAGCGCGGGTTTAGTGGGGAGAATGCGCAAATGGCTAAGCAATACGGCTACGACGCACGAGAGCCCATAGCAGCTGGCGCATCACTTCGCGACGGCCCTCACCCAAGGGGCATCGGACGGGTCATCTTTGGCGTGGGTATGCAGCAACACACTCTTCGAAGCCGGGGGGTTATTCCCCCCAGAGTGGTTGTCGAAACGTATCAACTAGGACGAGATGTATGCCCTGTATCATCTCCTGCTCCAACTCTGCCAACGACACCCAGATCGTCTCCGACGCGCGCAAGTCTTCGTGGACGTCGACAGCCAGTCAGTAGTGAGTGCCTTCAACCCCGGTAGGGCGAAGAATCGCGCCGTGCACGATTTGCTTATCCGCTTGTTTGACCTGCAGCTAGAGCATGCCTTTCTTTTGTCCTTGATGTGGGTTCTTACGCGGAAAACGTCGTTGCGGGCGCCACCTCTAGGCCCTCCCGGGAGACGATCATCCCGTTGGCGCCGCCTGCGTTCCGGAGGCTGTGGCAGGCGCTGGGTCCGTTCAACATAGACTTGACGGCGTGCACACTATCCGCACAGCGTTCGTTGCCGTCCCGAGTAGCGATTCCCTTCTTTCCGTGGTACCATCGTGCCGGGTCTGCCGGGGTAGACGCCTTTGCGCAAAATGTAGCAGTCTTGCCGGGCGGGGCACGTGGTTCAACAACTTGCCGGACGTAGGCCGTTCGCGGTAGTGCTCCTTCCGGGTGTCAGGGGTTACCGCGCACGCTCAGCGACAACCCGCTCCGTCGAGATTGCCAGCATTAATGAGGGCGGAGTCTCCGTTTGGTCCTCTGCGGAGGGCACTCTCAAGAGTTGGACATATCCGCGCCTGGCGATGATTTCGTACGAAACAGATTTCCGTCGGAAACGAGGTGCGTCTCATTCTATACGCTTATTTCGTAGATGGCCATCCGCCCGTTTGTTGGTTTCTTGTCTTGGCACCGACTTCTCCGGCGGAAGGGGCAGCCTCCGTCCGAGATGTGGTCAAATTCCCGCGTTGCGTTAACTGCAACCAAGAGAATGTTGCTCAGTTCAACTTTTGCTGGGAATACGGGGCTCGGCCGCTCCGCGACGCTCCCTCCCCGCACCTCGGGTCAGGGTCACGCGCACTAATCGATCGCCTAAAGCTACTAGCTCGCGGAAAACACAGGGTAGCAGACGAGTTCGACCTCTTCCTGCTGTCGTACTCGGTTTAACAAACTCCCAGGAGTGTGGGAGATCGTACAAGACGGTTGGGCATCGACGTTGGACACTTCAGTGCTGTGTCGTCGGGGGGTGTTGGGTTACCGCCGAGGAAATCAAACAGCAAAGTAAGAGTACGGCGGCGTGTTTCGCGACAAAAACTCCCTGCGTTGTTTGGTAAAATATCAATGAATGTACGTGAGTGTTTTTGGCGCTCCAGCCCGGGGGTCACACGTTCGTTCACAGAAACAACAAGTCAATCTGATTATCCGTGTTGTCCTGGGGTCGATGCTGCGTGAGAAACATCCCCAGGACTTCTACCGGTTCCTTACGATTAAAACGCTGGAGTCGTTATAATATGTGCATGTATGTGCAAGTATTCGCACAAAAAAACACTTACATAAAGTGCGTGGTCGATCACGCCGTGCAGGGTTTCAATGTTCGTCAACTGTTCCCATGCCGTCATTGAGTTTTTCTTGCGGAGTGATGATATGATGCTGACATCTGTGGTGTTGCGGACCTCTGTTCATTCCGCGATCATACAGCAGGTGTTCACCCTCCTATTTCGTTTGAGACACCGCGAGTCATCACTGACTTTCTGGGAGGAAGCTTGCTTGTGCGTGCATTACGAGCATTTAGTTGTTCGAAGAAATGATCGAGGTCTGAAAAACGCAAACATGACCTGCGCGATAGACATAGATTGCCAATTTCGGGAAACACGAAGCCTGCCTTCAGCTGCTAGCTGCTGTGATCGATTGCTCTCCAAGAATGGATTTTTTGGCGTTTACGTTGCATGGTACGACTCTAAAGTGTCACCCAACATCACGAACATCCTGCAAGATTGAGATCCGAATCGACAAGAGAAGAGGCCTGACTGACTACCCACCTTTTGACGCATTGTACGCGGCAGGTCAGCGCAATAACTTGGTTCAAACAGTTTCTATGTCGATCGGGCGTTCGAAAACGTGCACGACTGCATGACATGTACGATGAGCTTTACAGTGTTCACACGTTTGCACCGAACTATGTAAATACTTGAAACAGATTTCTTTCGGTGTGAAGACTGGCCGCAGACCACACAAGCAATGTAAACGTGTAAATTTTTCATATTGACAGTCCGCCCACCTACACCAACTGCTGCACACATGCTCCATCGCCCGTCCACCTCGCCTACCGTCACTTGCATCGCAAACACCCTGTTCACCGCTCCTATATCACCACTTGTGTCTTATTGCAAATATGCATACCTCAACACCATTCGAGGCTAGACACCCTATTGGTCCCCACCGGGGCGGAGGGGCCCTTCAATACCCTAATTTATTCTGTATTCTGGAAGCTCGTTACCGCACGACTTCGTTTACGTTGTATCCCAGGCGACGTTTCGGGAAGCATGGGGCCTATATCTCTTGCGGCCGCGTGTGCGCAAAACTAGCCTCCCCCTTGCACACCAAAACATAGTCTTCAGCCTCCAGCATCTTCCTCTTTCTGGATTGTCTACCTATAATCCGGATGTGTTGACCTTTCATTATTTTCCATTGACCCATCACCGCTAATCTTGAATGTCTGACCACGAAACTTCCTGGTATTGTAGCAACACTCGCCTTTCGATCACTTCCGCGCAATGTGAAGTGTCATCGCTTACGTGGGTCCAACGTAAAAACCTTTCAATAATGCCCTCCAGCAGGACTTTCGCCTTAAATTGGTCAACCCCTGCAGGAATACGCCTCTCCGACTGATCTCTTCCTCGATAGCGACACACTCCTTTTCTGCTATGCACGCGGTGGCGAAATATTCTGTACCCATCCATGTACCTCCCCGCGACTATGTCGGGGCGGCTACTGTATGTAATGAAGTTCGTCCGCTTCCTTGCACGCGGACTGAGCATCGCGCAATCGGCTTGTGAGCCCCCCGAGCTAGCCGGGGGCCGGGCTGGAGAATTACTCGCCCGGGTACAGGTAGCCATTCTACGATTGAATATTTTCTGCTATTTGCAGGCTCCCTTTGACCGGGTTGTGCTCCATACGACGATGAGATGAGACGAACACCCGGCACGCAAACACTTCCAAACCTATTATATATCTCATCACGGCTGGCGAGTCTCGATGCTGCACTCCCGGACGTCTACGGGACCTGATTGGGTCTCCTTCTGAGACACAGGCGCCTGCTTCATGCACCAATCGGGGCACAGCTCCCCATCCCACACCTCGCCTGTTTCTGCATTGCCAGGCAGGGACTCAACGATCTCGCAGACAGGTTCAGGGATAGGCTTGACGTGGACCGGCAGCATCTGTCGAGGGCAGTCCGAGCACACCTGACGCATCATCAGTTGTCGGACGACACGAAGGGAGAGGCAGAGATGCAAACCCACTGACCAAAGTCAATTTGAAGCTCACTTTGCGCCGTTTACCAACCCCTCAAGGTTCGCCTGTTGTGGAACACGTTGGTGAGTCCCTATTCTGCCACTACCAAACCTACTCTGTTTCCCCCCGCATCCCATCGGTTCTCGGGGCCATTCTACACCTTCCGGTACACCAGTCGAGGTCACACTACTTTGCGGCTTCAACAATGAACCAAACGACCGGTGTTGTTTATAGTGCTGGCCATGCACACTTACCTGGAACGATTTCCCGACATCGGCGCGCTCTTGTTCACTACCGCCTGTTGACGCCGCAGCCTTTGCATAAAGTTCCGCCTTTGTCTCCACGGCCTGGCCGAGCATTATCTGCGAGTAGGATTTGTACACCAATGTAGGCCGACAAAGGACGAACGGAGGGTCCGGTGGCTTAGGCTCTGCCGTGCAGGGGCATTGTGGACGATCCCAACAAGTCCGTTTGGACACAAGACGCATCTCACCCTCTATTTCAGCCTTTCTCTGTTGGTCTCGAAAATCGGATACCACCAGAAATGCTTGGGAGCAATTATTTCCGTCTTAGTGAGCACTCGCCGTGGACTCACGTTAGCCAGCATCTCTGTCATCGTGGAGTGCACCATGGTTGTCCCGTTGTGCGCCTCGGGGTCGGACGTTGTGGAAGACATGTAGTGATAGTGTATACTTGCCCCGTAATGTCGAATCCCTTGTCTCGATCGCTCGTTCTCGAAGAGTTTCGCCTGGTACATCTGACCGCAGGACGGACATTGGCCAGTATGCCGGGGGCAGGGAGGGGGGAGGATCAGCGAAGGGGTACGATGAAGGAAGGACGTGACGCCAGGGCAGTCTCCACAGTCTAGGCGGCACATGAGCATGCACAGAAGATGTGGTTAGGAACAATTTTGTTAGCACAAACATGCAGTTGTGACGCGGACAGAGAAACAGGGTGAAAAAGTCGCACGGGAAACGCTCGGCACGCAACGTTGAACAAAGGTCGGGAAAGGTGATTGCCTTAAACAACATGTCGAGCGCATAGAGTACATCGAGGTAGCTTGAGGAAAAGACAATCGACCCAGATATGTATCGTTCGCAAGAGCGGCAGTGTCGTGGGTGCAACAAGAACCCTGGTGCGAGACATCAACTCCACCGTTTCCTGCACAGGCGACCGTAGTAAATAAGCCCACTGTAGACAATGTACTGATAACAAGGCCAAGGTGACTTCCCGCGAGCTTGAGAAGTGCACCTACAGGACATGATGAGAGATTCGCCACGGCCCACATACACCCATGTACGAGCAAATACGTGGGTACAGAGTGCCTTCAGATAGTGGCCTAAATGGATCGACAGCATAGAACCATGCGAGCATATTATCTTGAGTTGTGATCGCGGTGACCCTTGGTTCTTTAAAGGAAAAAGCAGGTCAGTTCCTGCCCTTGGATTGTGATTGTTATGGGTCTCGCGTGCTCAGTGTGGGCACTGGACTTATCACACAATTCGAACTAGATATGTATCTCCTTTGTCGGCCATTTCCACCCGCGACATCTGGCAGTCTGTGGGCATATTTACTCTTCGAATTTGGTTCCGCTGTCGTTCTTGTGTCAATTTTCATGGGTCTTCCTAGTTGATATATGCTCTGGATTCTTCAAAACGTAACAACCATTGGGCTCCTGCGAACACAGAAAGCGTCCATGTCAGTTGGGCTACCGTAGTACGGATATTAGGAGACGCGACCAGAGATCGGAACAAATTGATAACCATGAATGAACAATCACTCTGTTCGCGTCTGCCAGAAAAAGCGTCCAGTCCACAGAGATCGATAAACTCCGCCAAACTCACAGGGAATGCGCTCATGAACGATACGCGAGGGTCTTGGGTTTGATATCCGTCCATTTTCCGGAGCGCAACGTCGTCGGTTGGCGTTCTGCCTGTGGCCGTTATTCTGACGTCCTTGAGAGCAGCCCTGGTTGGATTTCCTTGGGTCCAGTGTATACTCTGAATGGCATGACGTGCGTGACGCAAACGGGACGCTCAGTGCGATCACGAGAGCAAACCATTGACCTCGGGTAGACGTTTGCGGACAGGTAAAATCCCGCTGTTTTGGCCAATCTCGATTACGCCCGTCTGGCCTCATAGTGGGGAACAACGGCCTATTACCCTGACCAAGAAAAAATGCTGGTGACGTGGCCAACTGCTCGAACGGTGTAATACTTCAATTTCCTGTCGCAAAGCATGACTCTTACTGCAAATCCCAGACATCTGGTTCCACTGACAAATCCAGCCAAGCCAATCGGACTATTCGATAAGCTCGAACGGTGCAATAGTTCAATTGCCTGTCGTAAAGCTTGACTCATATTGCAAATCGCAGAGATCTGGTTCCACTCACAAATCCAGCCATGTGATCCACGAACAGGAGTTTTCCTTCCCAGCTTGGTGGCAATGAATCCATCAGCACCTGCGCATGCGCGCAAGACGCAGGCATGTGTGTACGAAAGAAGCAAGTGCGCATGTTGTCGATGCGATCAACGTATGCAAGCGATGGTGATCCTAACGGTCTGCTAACAGACAGAGAGCAACAGGATTCTGAAAGGACAGCCGCACACAAGTCACAAGCACGTTTGCGTCGTTGCATGTAGTCGCGGCATATTCCACCAACTCGAAAGGGTGGCGCCGGAAGCGATGATTAATGGTTGATACTCTGGAGTATTCTATACCCTCTGTCCACAGCATTCCTAACCTGGTCTTCCGCTGCAGAATATCGTGCCTAATAATGTACGCCTACAGCATGTGAGAAACCAAAGATACTCGTTGACATCGCATGCCCGTGGCTCGAGCCGATGGCGTTCCCTTCCCGAATTCATGGGCAGGTGGTGCTGCCGTCACTGGTCGGGGAGCCCACGCCATGAATTCGCTGACCATGCATTGCTTTATCGGGCGCTGAATCGGCTACAGTCTATCTTCGTTCGGTATCACCTCAATCATGTGGTTGACATTCTTTTCGGGGACCAAGTATGACGGAGCCAAAATCGTCGCCGGCCACTGGGTACCGTCTCGAAAAACGGTCGACGCCAGGAAGTCCTTGGCGGAGTGAACGAAGGCTGACGTGCTCCCGCTGGTGAGCTTTTCGTTGTTGCAGACCACCGAATCTAAGGAATTGGGAGGAGGTTCGCGTTGACGACAAACAACAGCACATGCTCGTCTCGGTCTGGAAAAAAACGGCAACAGTGGCAACCAACGCTAGCTTGTTCCGAACGTTTCCGATTTAACTGGCGCCATTTCAACGGCATTGGCGCAAAACTTGCGCAAAACACCACATCAGCAATGGTTTTCCAATCCATTCTTTCATCTTTTGGTCGGTATTTGTTCGATGTTGACAGAAACCCCAGTTACCAGTGCCGAAACATTTCAATCGATGAATAGTAGCCACCACATACAGGAAAGTTGGAAGGATCACCCGGGAAAGTGTTCAATACGTGTGCCTACAGATGGAACGACGTGCTTGGTTTTCGCCTAATTCATCTTCAATCTGAGCGAGCACTACCTACCGTAGCACACCCGTCCCCCAATGACACACACGAGACGAGAGCACACATGCCCAACCTCTGCCAGAGGCTCCCCGTCAAATCAAAGCAGCAGAAGCTGACGATACATACGGAGGAACGCAATGGTCGTTACACGCGACTACCGGTCTGATCGCAACTTATCCGCTCAGCCATTCGATACAGCAACTAGCCGATGGGGCTACACTTACCGGTCTTTCCGGATACTTGATACAGCCGCATGTCCTGAGAAGAGCGAGCATAGGCACAAAACAAAGCCACGAATTAATGCGGCATTATTAGGCTGCACGGCCGTGTGCAAAATTGTGGGACAATATTCCGCTTCTTCACTCCCCAAGCCAGAGACAGAGATTAGGATGGAAGTGCAAAAGGCTGGAGTATAGTAGTTTCGCTTTCAAGCTTGGCATCCCACTGCGATGGGTCGACGAAAACTACCCAGGAACAACTAGCCAACGTTTGGTATACCCGCCGGTCAAGGTGCTACAGTACCACCGTCCTCTCTGCCTGCTGGTGAACATTCTCGACGCCTCGACCGTACGCCACAACAGGAAGTAGTCTCCTCGCATCGGAGTTACCGCAAAACGTGAGCAAAATGTGGCAGAATACCTGGTACGTCAGGCGGAGGTTCCCAACCCGGAGGTCAGCGTATCCCCAGCACTTCTCGAGGACACTTGTCGCCATGTCGTCCTTTTGTCCTGCCGCTAATGCCATATCCACAAGCGTAAGAAACACGCCTCTTTGGACCGATCCACCCACGACCACAAGCCACGTTGGCTCGCCATCAGGGCTGGCCAGGAGCATGAGATCTTGATACGAAAAGGTGTCGAAAACACAAGATTTGGGCTGAAACACCCACCCAGTTCTCATGACTCCGTGCGCAGCACTGGCCACGTTCGCGGATAGCCATGTCCCGGGCCTCCAAAATGTATCCGCGATATCGGTGCTGCCATCGTCTTGGGAGCCACAAACTGGTAGGGAGTGTACGTCCAGCGTTGGAAAATCGCCTGCAATCTTGAGAGAGAAGGGACTTCCCACGATAGGAAGACCCTCACCACGTTCGGACGGTTGGACTTCCTCAACGTGCACCAGGTAGTCCCCGGGGAAATCGCTCTTGTACGTGGCTGTGAGAGTGCCGTTGTTGCTGCCGTCACCGACTACCTCCGCGATCAAGATCTGCGGTGTCATGCAGCATAGAAGCGGCATTCCCACAGGATAAACGAAGACCCAATGCGCGGGGTGTCGCATGGAATTTTGTATATGCTATCCTCTCGACAATATTTCCATCGTTCCCAGTATCTCCCCTACAGGACTCCCATACATACATCCCCGGATGCAGGCCTGTGATCAGGCACTTTCAAGAAGAACCGACACTCACACAATTCGTCTCTTTCGCCTCAACTTGTGATTGTTGCCATGTGGTGAAAGGATTATGTCGACGGCCTGTTGAAAGAATGGGTGCCAAGTAGCGTTTGGCATCCTAAAACTGAACACAAGAACTTGGCGATCAAAAAAGTGTTGGAACGCTCAAGGGCTTTTTCGCATCAAGAATAGTGAACCACAAAGACGTATGACAAGGTGACAACAATAACCCTCCTTGGCTCTGATATCTTCGACGGTGATAATTCCTCCACACCGGACGATGCTCAACCTTCAATCTCTCTCCCACCAATGCACTACCTGCAACACCATGATAACCGAGACTGGAAGCAGTACGGTGAGGATTTTACCCCCTTGGCAGGTTTGTTGTGGATTCGAAATCCCGTGGATTCAAAATCCCGGCTTGACACTACTACGATTTCGTCCTTTTGTGGTTGTTCTACACATCAGACCCAGCTTTCAACGAGGGGGTGGAGATTAATTAATCGTTCTCGTGTCACAACCCAACTCGTGCGCCGGACTGGAAACCCGTGAGTACTGTAGGTCGTGACGCTCGACCGTTGCACCCGAACCGGCCAAACACTTCCGTAACACCTCAACCACTGTTCTCTTTCCTCGCGGACAATACAGCAGTTCGTCGAGAAATGCCTATCCCACCTGATCCTTACTGGAGATCCACACGTAGATGAACCTGAAGCTGCTGTTCGGTTCCCAATCAGGCAGCGATCCGCCACCGCCGACTTCGTCTCCGACCAACTGAATCGTGAAGGACGCCGATATTCCCACCGTCGCCTGGTGTAGTCCATCTCCAGAGGCCATGTGCGGGGAGCTTGCAGCGGAACTGTAAAAGTGTGTCTTGGCAACGAGCGGTACGGAAGGCAAGAGTTTCTTCGATTGTTTCTGGTCATTTTCCACCTACGTAGATACATGTAGACCAAAAAACCTGAGCGCGGCGTACTGCAGAGGATTCAGAGCCGGTTGCAAAAGGCGAGTACGGGGCGACAACTACGGAGTGCGTCCTCCTCCAAAACTCTCGGGAACGCATACGCTCGGTCTTGTTTGCGCTTCCGATTGCGGCGAGCACTGCCGTTGTGGTTGAGTTTTCCTGGCGCCAGTTGCGCTATGCACGAGCTCCGTGACGCAGCAGAGGTAGTGGCTGATTTGTTAACCTCGTTGCACGCTTTGACTGTAGGCCGTGGCTTGGAATCTCCTTGGAGTGGAACATCTCGCAGACAAAGTGAAAACCGCATAGTCGTGATTACACCAAGAAATTCACGAACGTAGTTGCGTGCGTTGATGGGTGTTTAAGGTTTGGAGTGAACGCCAGTGGTATGCTGCTCCACGTCGCTCGCAGGCTCTCACAATAGACTATTGGGTCTGCGGGCATCGGCCAGTGTTGGATGACAGTGCGTGGTGATTCCGCCTTCGCTCTTTGGTACTCGGGCAATGTGATATCACAACCATCGGTTGCTCTCTTCGCTGGTGGACGATTGATTTGATATATTATCTGCGTCTTCCACAACAATCTCCCCCAGGCCCCGCTTAGAGCAATGCGCATGTGGTTTTTCGTCACACGCGGGAGGCTTGACACCCACGGCCCGAAGGGAGACCTTGTATTATATTAATTGCTTTATTCTGTTACAGAACAGGGCGATGCCCGCGATGGGGGTGAATCGACAGCAGCATACATAGCGTACATAGACGCCAACAATTAGGTCCCGACTACAGCCATACGTTACCAGGGGAATGATCGCCCCCCGCCCCCCAATGCGAAGAAGTTTACTGATAAGTGGAGATTGTCTGCCAACGTTACGAAGAGTGCCGTCATGGTATGCAACGAGGGCAGGGAGGAACCAGTAGAACATAGATGGAAGTGGGGGATCGAGGAGATTGCAGTAGTCGACCAGTACACATACCTCGGAGTAGAGATCGCAAAAGATTGCTCGTGGAATGCACACATGTCCAAGGTAGCGGAAAAGGGCAAAGCACGAGCAGGGAAGCTGCACCCAATACTCGCAAACCGGCACCTTGATACACGCATCAAATTGACGGTTTTGAAGAGCGTAATCGTACCGCCGCTGGAGTACGCCGGAGAAGTATGGGAAGGAAATAAGAAGGTAGTGAAAGAACTCGAGGCGGCGCAGATGAAAACAGCGAAAATCATCCTAGGATGCTCCAAGCGCACAAGTAATGCAGCAGTCAGGGCAGAATTGGGGATCCAATCCCTACGGTCGGGAAGAGACGTAAGGAAGCTGACATGGCAGTACCGCATGTGCGGGATGGGAGAGGAGAGGTTGCCGAGAATAGTATGGGAGGCGAAGTGGGCAAACAAAAAGAGGGGTAGACAACCCACGGAATGGGTCAAGGTTATAGAGGACGTATGGAAGGGATTGGACATCGACGAAGATGAAACGCTGGAAACGGAGGGTCTACAGGGGTTCAAGAAGAAGATATCTGTTGCTTGTGCCGACAGAGAAGAACAGAATCTAAGGAAAGAATCCAAGGATAAGGAGGGTCTAGAAGTGTACGGAATGTTGAAAGAAGGAATAGGGTTCAAGGATTACCTACATGGACCAATGGATGCAGGGACAAAGCTTAAGGTCAAATTCAGGACCGGGGACATAGGCCTTCGCTAACGTCGACGAAGACATAGGACGGTAGACGACGAAGACGACAAGTTCAAATGTGATTGCGGCTTCGAATGCGAAGACAGTGTTCATGTAGTCGCGGAATGTCCGTGGTACGAAAAGGAGAGGGAAGTGTACATGACTGAGCTGGGAAGAATACAAGGGACGTACAGGGAGATGTTTGAGGCATGGAATAGAGAGGAGAGGACGGTAGCGGTACTGGGGAGTAGGAAGTGGTTTGAAAAGGCGGGAAGTGACATCGGTAGGATAGACAGACTAGGGAAGACATTTTTGAGCCACCTTTGGCAAAGTAGGAAGGAACGATTGGCCATCGGTGATCGGTCCTGTGGGAACAATGCTCCGTCCTCTCGAGGACGCGTGGTCAATGGTCTAACCGCTAAGGCATGCAAAGCATAAGAGTACGCCCCCCCCCCCCCCCCCCCCCCCCCCCAAGGGGGGGGGGGGCCCAAAAAAAAGGAAAACTTCCCCGGAAAAGGGTAACAAAGGTTTTCCCGGTTTTTTGCTANNNAAGGCACCAAAACCAAAAGAAAACCCCCCCCCCCCCCCCCCCCCGCCCCCCAATGGGGCGGGCGGCCAGAATACGAGGAAAGTCTGCCCGGATAGTGTATACGAAGGTTTGCACGGTTGTATGCATATGAGTTTGTGGACAAAGCGACAAAACGAAAAAGCCGTATGTCCGTGCGGGTGGCAGATTGCAAAATATTGAAGAAATTGGATGATGATGTGGAGCAGGTACGCGCGTACACTAAGTGTTGAGGATGGACTAAACACGGCTATTGGCACGAGGAATGAATCGGGCATTCCATGTTAGTGCGAACGTGGCATTGGATATTAATGGAAGTTGAAGGTTTCGCGTGTATGGTCTTCCCAGAGGATGCACGAACACGCACACGGTTCGACAGCTTTGGTCACGAAAAGAAGAGTGCATGATGTTGCCGTGTGGTTTTAATTGTTGATATGTACTGTAATATTGATGGAAAACTAAGATTAGAGCCAGCGCGAAAGAAAGGCATAAAGACGAAGTATCGCCAAGACACAGTCCCACATTACGACATAGGGCTCGCTGCCGAGAGCGGCACAATGTTTTAAAACAATAAATGATCATTCAAAGTACATCTCATCAGATGGCGAGACGCAACAGCAGTCCAGGGCGAGCGCCTTGTTGCTGGAGTATAAAAAAAATCGCTAACCTATGCACAAAGGACAGGCTTGTTATTATTGGTTGCAAAACGTATAGGGAACGACTGAAGCGTAACACATACGTCCAACGACCGAAGGAAGAGGGATGCACCATTTCAAACAACAGTGGATCTACATTTTAGGTAGGGCGACGGAATCTGGGCAGCATGATCATCAGGCGATCGATCAATTTCACATGGGGTTGCAAAGCCAACAACGTCGTGAATGTTCGCATTTTCCGCCTGCAACAACTTAGTTTCTCAACGGGTACCACCACTTCAGACGACAGTACGCCATGTTGTTGCAGAAGGACGTGCGGTGATGACAAGAACACGCTTGTTTTTGACGTTGCGCGGCGAAAAATAATCGACCCCATGCGTCCACTCTGAAATCAAAAGTCTAATGACACGCGACATCCTGTGAGTAGTGTATACAACATGAACTTTGTAGTGACCACGTTCTCTGGTCTACCTTTCTTTGCGGCTGAAAAGGTGCTGAGGAAGTCACTGCTGATTTCCAATCTAGCGGCGGGCGGGGGATGCCGTACCTGCTCGTTCTCCGGTCTACCCTGCAAGAACTCCGGCTGTTGTGAAGGTACTGAAAGTTCACCGTCGATCTCCAATCTAACCGAGGGAGGGACATCTCGGGGATATCTTCGTCGTGCGGCCAACGCGCCAGTCGCCGCGAACACGAACTGAGCAAATAACCGGGCCTTCGTCACCCTCATGGCCGGCTCCCGGGCAAGTCAATAGTGTGCTGGCAGAATGGCGACGGCCTGCAATGAAGCAAGTACGTATACGCATCGATCGAATTGGGATGCGGAATAACCACCAAACCACAATGAACCACAATGTGTGTGTGGGTCATGTATACCACAAGCTACCAGCAGGGCGCACACAAGTAACCCGAAAGTCGCATCTCATATGCATACATGTGTGTGACAACATACAAAAAGGCACTCCAAAATAACAGCAGTTGCGAAGGGGTACCGATTCTGGTAAAAGTCAATCGACGGATACCCTGCGAATCGGGTCCTCTCCACGCACAGAATTTACCCTCAACTGGGAACCTTTTGTGGCCAGGACGGGTAATTCGATGGAAGTTTCACAACGTTCTTTATAGGATTGATTCCAAGAGGTGTTCTCAGGACTGACACACATTGTGTCCATGGGAAAATGTTCAAGTCAGGAGAAAAAACGTGCACCCAAGGAGTTTCGAACCAGTATCCGGCCGCTGACGCCATATGCGAAGGTGTACCGATTCTGGTAAAAGTCAATCGACGGATACCCTGCGAATCGGGTCCTCCTTAACCCCCTTCCCACGCACAGAAAATTCGGCGTTCTTGCGAAATTTCTGAAATGTAAGAAAAAGAGCGAACGACGCCTGCTGATTGGATGGTGCAGACATTTCCATCCCTGGGTGCAAGTGCAAAGCTGCCTTCCCACTTGATTGAGCCGTCTCTTGTCTATAATCCCTATCAAATGTCCCCTCGTTACGAGGGGACACACGAGGGGACATTTGATAGGGATTATAGACAGCAACTGGCGGGAGCGTGGTAAACGGGGCACGAAAAAGGAGGTTTTCAAGATATTTCTCTAGAGGGAAAGCGAGACCTGTAACTCAAGCCCTAGGTTGCTCGGTGCCTTCTATCAACGGTGGGCTAGGTACTTCTTCCGCGCTTGCCCCTAGTAGCGCTTTCCACCCACGGGTAGACAGACGCGGCGCAACCTCGCTGTTGGACCCGCGGCGCAATCGCCCCGCAATTCGACCTGTTCATTACCCTCATACTCCTCCACTCTACAAAGCATTCATACTAGACTAGAGTCGTCCCTGTGTACCCCGGCACCCCCCTGGTCGAGTAGTGCCAAGGAGGAGACACTCATGCCATTCTTCGCGAGGTAAAGCAGGTGAAGAAGATGGGGACAAAAAGTGTCTCCAAAAGGCGATCCAGCCCTAAAGGGGTTAACACAGTGACGTGTATTATTGTAAATGTATGCTACAATGTAGTCCATAGTGAGCAGCTGATGGCGAAGATTTACTGGTAGTGCCGTTGGGAAGTTTGTGTGGTATCGGAAGTTGGAGATGGCACATTTTTTTTTTTCTTTTCACCTTCACATCAGTGCTCACAGCATTTGTGCCGTTTGCTCCTACCCATGGTCACACAGACAAATTCCTCTCCCTGGCGCCGCCTATGCCCCTAATACCCACCCCTCCTGCGGTGCTTTCCCTTCAATTTTTAAAGCGAGGACAGGCCAGTACTACTTTCCCTCCGTATACACACACACGAAGTAGGGCGCTTTCCGCCCAGACCAGGAACCCAGGAACGGTAGCGAGATAAAAGCTCACTCTAGCAAGAAAGCTCCCTTACGCCGGGATTCGAACCCCTGGCTGGCCACCAGAAGGAATTCGAGGATACCAACTAGACTACCGGGGACGGCCGGCCCTTGTGGCACAGTGCAAGTCACGTCGACCGACCCTTCCAGGTGTGAAACTCTCAGAGGAGGGATGATCTCTTACCAGGCCACGAACGAGAACCCGAACGAGAATTACGAGGTCATTCCGTTTTTGAACAACATGCCGGGACACAGCAATACAGCAGTGGTGGGGTTCGGTTACGGGATCCCTGTTACTACGTGTTCTGCATAGCGACCAATCGCGAGGCACCACAGCTGCACTCCGACCAAGAGCAGCTCAACAAACCGGCCTGAGCCGCTGAACAGACCTGATGTGCCTGGAATTACATGTACACCGGCTTGCACCGGCCACCAATCAATTCCATCCCTGCCTGACCAGCCTGAAACCTGACAATGCTGCTGAAGGCTGCTGAAGGGTTGCAAAACCGGGCTCACCACGCTGCTCAAAGCTACTCACCGCGTTTTGAAGTGCAACGACTCTGTGTGGTGGAAGTTGGGCGACAGGAGGGCAAGAGGGGTATACGCGCACCGCTGTCTGAAGAAAAAAAGAAGTCTCCGCTGATGCTTGTAATTTCGTATGTTTATATCTATCGAAGGATACTGGTTCTGCATCAAAGTCTGCAGGGGAAAGTGTCCCCATACACGTCAATAATTAATAGGCCGGGTGTACACCTTGTACCAGGTGTGGATAGTACGTCTACAGTAGAACGCACAACAAATACAAACACAGAAAGACTGCGCGTTCCAGATACAACCACAGTCACAAAAATGTGTCCAAGCCTGTACAGCGAGTGGAAGAAAAATGGGCTACAACTAACTGCTGTGTTTTACAGAGCAGTAAACATGGTACTGCTGTCTGTCTGACTCTCTCTGATTACCTCCGTGTGTTTGTATAATTTTCCGTTCTTCATCTTCCCAATCAATCCTTCCATTCTTCCGACGCCCTTCCAATCAAAAAAGCGATCGGAAAGTGTCACGCATGTCAGGGATACCACCAAAAGATTGTGAACCCCAAGTTAACGCGTGGGCACAGCGAGAGGTATACGGACGCCCGCGGCGAATCGACTCTTTCTGGTGCCGCGCCTGCGAAGGATCCGCGCGACCACAAACTTTCGGAACAAAAATACTTCGAAGATTCAAGTTGGGAGATTCAAGGCACAACAGGTTCCGAATTTGCACAAACAGCACACCACATTCGACGTCGACACGCACAGAAGTGAGGCATCGAGCACGTTAAGGGGACTGCACCTGAGACCCAGGTGCTGCTGCTACATACAGAGCTGCCAAGTTCACCAACATCTGCTGCTGTTCCGAGGAGCTGAGGAGCCTGAGGGCCTGTGGAGCTGGTCGCACCAGCTGACCCGTCATTGGAAGAACCAGAACCAAATCGTGTCATCGTGGTATCGTGGTTCTTGGGCGTGCATGGTACGCATACCGTCACGACCGCCGTGCCGATGGTTCGATGTTCGATGCACCCGTACAGGTGAACCGATCCCAGCAGCCGGATAGCCGGGTCGGCTGAGCCGGATAGCCGGTTGCCGATTGGCCGCATCCTGGGTTATAGGGTTAGGGTTAGACTACAGCTGACTGGGTATCGATATTTTTCACCCTGATGATGATGCGGACTACACTCTACGTGTACACTACTGCTGCCGTGAGAGCCACAACTACGATTACGTACGACAGTTGTACGGAAGTCACAGCGGTCTACTGCGCGAAACGACCTGATCGTCGGCTGTGGATGGAACGAAGAACACAAGGGCTAATACTGCGCAGTCTATGAAGTAGTTATTTACGCGATGAAGAGAGCCCATCATCGGCAGGTATTTTCAACGGACACCATTCTTCAAAGCCAAAAAGCGGCGGACAGCAGAATGAACACAAATAATTGGCATCACCCCATTGCACTATTAATACTGATGTGCGGCATCGCAGGAAGCACCGGTGGGCACTGCACGGCTACGAGGAGGTCTTGATCATGTTACGGGGCGTTGCTGGAGAAACGGTTGTGCGGAAGGTACAGACGACCTCGGTGACAAGCGCCACACAAGCACGGAGTGCCGCAGCCACGGCCAGAGATGGGAATACAAGAAATACAAGTCAAGGATTAACTGTACTGCACTGTATTGCTGTACATGGCACACCTACGTTTTTACCATATATGTATATCTCGCTTCATTTGTGTAACGTGTGGAATAATCTAGTCTAGAGCTTTTCTCTCCCTCTTTCTTCGTCCAATATGATCGGTTCAGCGTTCCCTGTAGGCATGGTGTGATGGTGTGAGGTAGACGAACAAGTTCGATCTGTCGTACACTAGTCACCGACAGGTGATGGAGCACAAGGAAGAAGGGTAGACTAATTCAAGGCTCTGTCGGTGAACGGATTGAGGCCAGGTGATGGCAGAGGGCCAATAATACGTTCGAATCTCATGTCGACAAGACTGGTCGATTCGGACATGCAATTACAGGTACTACACGTAGATCTACAGTAAACACCTGCGGCACTCGGAAAAAGATATTCGAAGATAGAAGCTTCGATATCATCGGCGAATAGTCTATCATACTTTGAAGTAGTATACAAGTATGACAAGTTTTTAGTCATGGATTGCTTGGATGGAAATCATATGTCAATTTCATGAATCTCCATCGACGGGAAGAGTAGATGGAGTGCAACAGAAGCCCATGTATGCCCGTTGTACGGCCCACGAGTATCCACAGTCAGTGCGCAGTTCAACGGGCGTACCATGGAAGCCCATGGAATGTTCCTTGTGCGTGTTTCCTGCATGTGTTGGATAGAGGTTTTGGTCTGCAGCTCGTCATATCTGGTACGTCTTTTACCTCGGGGGCCACTGCCGGTTACCGTTTGCAAATTCAAGTATGCCCGCTTGTTTGATGGCAGCCTCTCATTCGAGTGCAGCTGTTGTGGTGCTTGTGGCGTGTGTGCGCCATCCCTTCTTTGGCGCATTCACACTAGCAAACCTGGGATTGTTTCAAATCTCTGTAGAAGACTACCATCTGGGCTAGTCTGTACGTGGATGCTCGCTACGAGATTATCTCCTTCCCGCAACGTAACATGCCATGGATATGTACGCCACAAACGACACATCACGCCCAAAGCACCTCCCCTAGCCACTCTTTCATGCGTTCCCGCTCGCTAACTTCTGGGACACCCGCTTCTGACCTCTCTACTCCGTCAGCAACTGGCGGTGACCGCGACTGGCGAAACATTCTGCCAGCCAGTGTCTTCGCGAATACGCTCCCTCCGAAGGCGAGCGCTACCTTCGGCCTCCTTCCCGTGGCGAGGGTCTCGTTCGAAAGCGCTAGCGTGGGTAGCGCGAGCGACGACGACGACGCGTCTTCTACAACTGCTGCTGGTGGATTCGTTGGCGACCTCGAGCGTTCCATGACGCCAACGCTAGCGTCGGGACAGCCCTCGGATGCCACCGGGCCGGCATCGTCTTCGAGGAGATCGAATGCGTGCACCATCCCGAGAACATCAAGGGCGAAGAACACCGCCGGTCGATGTTCTGACCAAGCCAAAGATGAAATCGCGGCTGGCCAACTGCTACTGCTACCGCCATTTCTTCTGCTGTCAGCGGCGGCGGTTGACCCTGCTTCCCACGTCGTAAGCGGAACGACAGAGGCCTCCTGCGGTTTTTCCGGTTGTTGACGGGGACCGATCGGTGGGTTTGCGTTTAGGGCTTCGTTAATGTTCGAGGGAACACCTGCCTTAGAAAATGCGTCCATCCTCTCACGCGGTGTCGAAAGGATACGATCAAGAGCAAACTTGCTGCAACAATACGTGTGGCGAAGGAGCTCATGAGATTCACCCACCAGGAGGTGCTTGATCCATTCCGCACAAATCGAAGGAGATTGTGGTGGTCAACTGAAAGGTGAGGTCACATCAACGCGCAAAAAGGTTGACAAGTGCGAGGGTTTAACAATATCTAGCACACATCAGGTCACGTACAGCTGCTCACGTTATACAAGCGCACGCTTCCATCTCCGCATCCGGCCAAAAAGTACTTTGGGAAAAAGGGGCTGAAGGCCAAGCAAGTCACTCCGCCCATCGCCCCCTCCCGTTCCTCTCCCGTGCCTCCGCCGCCCCCATCCAGGCGACGTTCTCCTGGCCGCCGCGGGGGCCCGTACGCACGTGGCGGAGGCGGCTTTCCAAGGCGGGAGGCATGTGTGACCCGATCCGAAGAGTCTCCGATAAGGAATCGGTTAGGGTCCTCAGGTGAAAACGCCAGAGCTCTGGCCGACCCGGCAGCAGCCGAGGAAGCGGTAGTGTCGGTGGTCTGGTCCAGCCTGTTTCTTGTTGAGGTTGAAAAGCGAGGGACCGACACAGGTACTGCACCGCCGCCGCCTCGCGGACGCACTGCGGCCGCCAGAGAGGGTTGATCACCCGGACGCAACGCCTTGGAGAGCGCGAGGCGTACTCGCCCTCCCGGGCTGAGACCCAGGTCAGTCTACGGTAGAGACGGTGGGCGCGGAGGCGGAGCGGGGTCTTGGTGTTGATAGATTTTTTATGCTAAAGCCTACATGTGACAGCATGACGACCATGTTGAGAGCCGGTTTCATGTTGAGAGCCGGTTTCATTTCGTGGAAAGTGATCTGGAGGAGGTAGGCGCTTCCGTTTCCGAACGAAAACGGAAAACGGGTTCCGTCCGTCAGACTCTGAACTACCACTGCTAACACCCCGGTGGCGACAGGAGACACACGTGAAGGGTGCACTTTTTTTCCTTGACGATGCTCTACGCGGCGGACTGAAGGAGCTAGCAGATGAGAACAACACAATCATTGAAGAGACAGCTTGCTCGGGAGCACACAATACTGTGTGCAACAACTACCGCTCCGGGCTCGCAAAGAGGTCATCGCGTCCACATTGCTCCGCCCGCATCAGGTGGCATGTCAAAAGCTTCCGGATCACCCTGCAATGTTGGGAAATTTCTGAACCACAATCAAAATTTTCGAAGCTCCTGACTTGCCTACCTGGGACCCTCCCTCGTCCCCTCTCGGGACCTCACTTGCAAGCCAGATGGACACCGTCCCTCTGTCGTCCAGCGAAGCTACCTGGAAGGAGCAGGCGTCCCCGAGGGAAATCATGCCTCCTATCCCGCCGCCGCCACCATCCATCCCTACTCCTCCTGTCGGGGAGGGGATGGCAACGACGGACACGACCTTTGAGGAGTGTCCGCATCCGGCTTTCGATAGTCCTCCGTCCTCGCCCCTACCATCACCGCCGGCGGTGACGTACGTGGGCGCACGGATGCCGCAGTGTAGCCCTAGTTCTCGTGACTCCTGTGATGTTGTTGTCGGATGGGGTCGAACGCAACGGGTGCGGCGCGCGTGCAGTAAGTACGTTCTCACGCCGTCTCGGTTTCTAGCCGACACGCTTCGACTCAACGAATGTCCGACCCGAAATCACCCACCAAGAGTAGTCTACTGTTCACGAAACGCACATCCAAAGCCCTCGCGATACTTGTTGCCGTCTCAGTTTACCTCGTGGAACAAAGGGTTCGTGGTGCAACTTACCGCCGCGCGACCTTCCGACGCCGTCTCTCTAAGGTCCCACAGCAGCAAGCACCCCTCTTCGGTTCCCGTGATCACGACGTGCGCCTGGTGCCGCGCCAGGCACAGGCAGGAGAAAAGACCCTCCCCACAGAGAACACTCACGGGGGCACCCTTGTTGGTTGTTGACGAGTTTGGTTCCGAGGGGGGGGGGTCGTCAGCAGCGAGAAGTCTCTGGGTTTGTGGCCTCGGGTTGTAGAATGTGCTGTAGAGTGATAAAAATTTCTTGGGCAAGGGATTAGATCGCGTCTTGTGTCGGTGCTGGTGCTCAAGAAGGGCATCACGCTCGTGACAAGCGACGTGCCGAGTACCGCGACCGAAAGTGACAATTTTGCCAAGCACATGACGCACGTGTCCGATGAAAAAATATATAGGGAGCCCTCGTGAACGCACTAGAGGACAGCTGCGAACGCTGGGATTGTGTAGGGATTGGAGCTTGCCGTGAGGTCCGTCGCGCAAAGGTTGGCCTTGACGGTTCCCGACCAATGAGGCATGCAGCGACAAATACGAAGGTTTACTTGATCCGTTGCATTTTCCTTATCGTCCTACACTCACCTGGACATTCTCGGTGTTCCAGACACAAACCACCCCGCAGCCCTCCAACACAGCCTCTCGTTCATCCGTCCCCCCCCCACCACCACCGCCGCCACCGTCTTCTGATCGTCTCCGCCGCCCCACCGGCCTCGCGTGCGCGGTGACGAGCATCGACCGTTTCACCTTGCTGAACTCCACCCCGACAACCTCGGACCCCTCGAGAAGCGCCCCCGCCCCACGCCCTCTGACCCTACCCTCATCGCCCCCTTGCCTTCGCTTTTCCTCCGCCGTGGAAGATCCAGTGTCTTCCGTAGCTGCAGCAGTCGCACCGCGGGCACCAGCGCCGAACACCCCTCCTTCTGCGCCCACCTCTTCCCACCCCTCTCCCTCTCGGCCGCCCGCTCCCGAGAACAGCGCGCCCCGTTCGCGACCGACTGCGTCCTCGTGTTCGCCTCTTGCCGGGTCTAGGGGATGGCTTCCCCCCCGCCGCTTCACAGGCGCGTGGAGCAGGTTCTCCTCGCACAGTGTCTCCATGACAACGCTGGCTTGCCGCAAGAATTTTCCGAGTCGAAGAGGTGGCGGAAGAGTGTCTGATCCTCCTGCGGAGGACACCCTGCCACTGCTGCCGTCGAAATCGGTCCCGTAGCGTGGTGCCGGGTATTCTTGCTCGCCGGGATCGGTGCCGGCTACCATGCCGTTGCCGTTGTAGATCCCCTTGAAGGTCGTTGTCGCCGACCCCGGCCCGCTAGCTGGAACGTCTTCGCCGCCGTCCACCACCGTCCGCTGCTGTGTTTGGCCCCCTTCTTCGCCTTTAGCTTGGTGTCGTTCCGGGGGTCGGCGGTTGGACCGCAACCTCCTCATGAGGTTTTCCAGGGCGGTGTCGTCGTGGCCAAGGTGGAACTGGACCTCCTTGTGGGACTGGACGATCTGAGGTTGTTCGATGTCGACCGTGGCGGGGTCGTTTTGGCGACGAAGAGGACGAGGAGAGGAGAGCAGCATCATCGCAAGAGACTCAGACGCAAGACACGCACAATGATGGGAAGAGCCGATGTCGAAGAATAAAATGACAACATCGCTATGGAACGCTTGGAGTAGTTCATAGAAAGGTAGTCTGTTTCGACTACGCTCGGGAGGGGAAAACGCCGGCGTACAAGCACGGGTCTTGGAGTGTTTCAATGAGGTCATCTCGATACGAATGCAGCTTCCGTGCCCTGCTTGCCCATCCCATCCGCAGCGTGATGGTGCGTCGGAGATACAATGCGCAGGTGGAGGCCTTGGGTAGACAGGTCGACAAGGTCATTGAGAAGCTCGAGAACAGAGGGGGAAACCCTCTGGCCCCCATCCCCTCGATGGCGACCATGCGGGACCGCTCGGAGCGGGAAAGGAACTCCATCCCCTCGATGGCGACCATGCTGGACCGCTGGGAGCGGGAAAGGAAAACCTGAAAAAGGCAATGTCTCTCAGCCTTCTTGGTGCTGCTGGAAAACACCGCAATTCGGAATACGATGCTGCCGAACGAATGGAACCCGGTCGAAACCGTACGACTTCTCCAAGCGTGTACAGCACACCACGCGGCGGAGAAACCACGCAGAACGCTCAGGAAAGCCACAACGAGAACGTCTCAAGCTCTTGGCCAGGTTGATGCGCAACTATCTTCCACCCCATTTCGCAACACGAGATTTCCGTCTCCGTTCCATTCTCCCTGGACGCAAACCCTTAGTTTGGCCTTGTTTGTCTTTTCCAGCTGTTCCGAAAAAAAACACGCATCGGCAGCATGCCATCCTCCCGACCACGAGTCCACGACACGGTCCGTGCGAACGCCGCTATTCATGTACCTCATCGGTTTGCCCCTCCACGGAGCGCGCATCGTCGTTGGTCTGCGTCCCTGCCTGGCGTATCAACGCCGGCTGCCCCCTCAGTCGGCGATGGTACAGGTCTATCGGCAGAATAGGGACTTGGTCGAACAGCCGGACCGACTCCACTTCCAGCCTGGAGGCCCCGCGGATGGCTCTCACGCGCTCTGCACGGGGGTCTCCTGGAGAGAGGGAAGGAAGGCAATATCGGGAAACCAGACAGGATCATCGTCGAGATATACACCAGCCCCCATATAAGCATTGTAGCTCCCCCCGGCAACGCCTGAAAGGCGGAAAATGTGAGGACTGGAGGTACCTGTTGACATCCAACGTAAGTTCGGGCTGGTGTTGTTTGTCTTTGGATGCGGACGGCACGAGATCACATTAGCGGATCGACGCTACGCGCAGGCGGGAGACCTTGCATAGACCCAGTCCATGCTTGGGTGATGGGTGTGGGGTGCAGAGCAAGGCAGTCTAGTCGACGCGCGAGAAATGTCCTGACACCTGTAGCGATTCGGTCGATGCCTCTTCCACCCGGATTCAGTGGGGCACGGAAAAAGCCGAGTGCTCCAGGTAGAAATTGAAAACATACCAAACAAGCGCTGTACAAAAGCGCTCTATTGTGGACACTTGAACAGCGAACTTGGGGTGGTATGCGTAACGATGTGCCGCGAGCGTGCCTAACAAAGGAGGGCCATCATCAAACCACGTGGAAGCTACAGACAGCCAGACAGCCGCCGGTTTCTATCGTTCTGGACCTGCCACTTCAATCAATCGGCAACCTGTGTGGTCGAAAACTCGCCGAGAAGACAAATCCGTCCGTACATACACACAATCACACACCGCACACCGCAAAGGATTGTACGGAGTGTGCGCCGGCTGTACTGAGGCGCGCCCGCATCTCACCTTTAGCCAGCGCACGCGTCAGCGCCTTCGCGTCGGCCATCTTGAAACCGCTGCCCTTTCGGCTGCGCTTGACGTCAGCAGACGCATCTACGGAGAACTTCCCCTTCGCTACGGCAGCAGAAGCCTCGCCCCCGGTTGCCGCGGCCGCTGCAGCGCTCCTAGAGCCCTTCGCACCTTTTGCTCCCCTAACCGCCTTCGCGTCTGAGGAAGACTTCACATCGGCCTATTTGTGTGTATAGGTGCAGAGGGTGGTTTAACGTCGCCAGCTATGGAGGGGAGAGTGGGGGGGCTGTGGCGTGCGACGGTCTCAGGTGTACACTGAAGGCGGGAAAATCTCGCATAATGTACAAACGGCGGCACGGAACACAAGGGGGTCATCCTGGCGCCTCCCGGCTGGTACGATCAACAAACCACCAGGATATTCCTCGACTCTAGATGTGGGTGAATGACACTTGCACCGGTGGTGCGGGCAACGCACGGCACCCGCCTTCGAGGAAAACTTTTGTACAACCCATCCACAGGCACTGTAGCCGTAAGCGCCACAGTGACCTTGGTTGTCGTGCACTTTGTTCTGAAAACGACTGCTCTAGAAGCTTGGGGGTCGGTCGGTGCATGTGGCGGGGGAGGCTACATCTGGAAATCTCCAGTTTCGACCAACCAACGCTACTGGCTGCGTGCATGCACGACGATATCGTATATCTTGTGTGCTTTATAGGTGGCAGTCTCAGACGTCGTCGTCCCCGGACGGCAGTTCGCGGTAAGGGGGCGCGTGCTGCGACAAGTCGGGTGGGCCTTTTTCGAAGCGATCCCTGATATCGCCCCTTACTTCTAGAGAAAGCCCAACCGCCCTGGCATAGCGGTTGTTCATACTAGGCCGGATTGACCGCGCTCCAACAGTACTTCCTGAGAGTGTTCGATGACGTCTTCTACAACAGACGTTTCCACTGTTGAGTCGGTCAGCCAACTGATACCCTCATCTCGAAGAGAGACGGCAGCCACAAGAAATAACCTGCTCGCACAATTTTTAGTCCACTCCTTTCGTGGCGATCCAAGTATAGTTCCCGGGAGTCCGTACCATGCAATTCAACTTTCAGCAAGATCAACGTGGTGTCCTTACCGTGGCGGCTTCTGAGGGTTTCGGGCTTGGTCTGGCCACCTTTCGTTCTCTCGCGGCGATGTTCTCCTCGCGAAGAGAGTCCCTCAACTCTTCGAGAACCTGGGGACGGCATTGAACACAACCAAGCCAGGCTTAATGCAAGCAGTGACGACTTCACAGCAACACCGACGTTATCGAGAGAGCCAGGCAGAGTTGTGGTTCATCCGCATACAAAGCAGTCTGGATATCACGCCAGCTCCGCCCTCCCTGGCCACACCTTGTCGTCCGGCGCCTGGATGTTGTCCCCCGGTCTTCTCATCTTTAGAGCCGGAGACACCACCGCCCCTCCCCCTTCGCCCCGGGCAGAACCAGGGCGAGTGACAGACGCGGCGGTGGCTTTGCCGACTGGCGGTGGAGGCCCCTCGTCTTCCCCTTCCCCGTCAAACTCATCTGAATACTCCTCGAAACATTCGTCGTCGTAGCCACCGCCGCAATCTTCGTCCTCGACCTCCATATCAGGTGGGACCTGTCATCGCCGGGTGGGATGTTGGAGTTCCTTGAGCGCATCCCCACTAACCAACGTGCTCACGACCACCGTACCGGCAGCACTCAAGACAGAACGCCATATCGCCATGCAGGCACAGAGCCGTAGGATTACTTTGCTCGACGAGTTATGCTCCGCGGTCCTCGTACTATACACAGTACATGTTTTATGGCCCCTTCTTCCTATTGGAAACACTCAACCTCTTACAGGCATCCGCACCTGTGGTGCAACCCGCCCATCGGGTAGCGCTGGATTCCGTCCAACATCATCGGCAACGGCAGCGGATGCATCACTTCTCCATCTTTCAGGACACGAGGGCATTTGAATCAGAGCACGGTCACCCCCATCAATGTTTTTGCACGTTAACCATCGTTTGTAAATTGGTCTTGTCAGTGCACGGGCACGTCTGGGTTCCAAATCGGATGATCGGTATTTGCCACTTCGACCAATGTGTGGTAATTCAAAAGACTTCTAGATATAACAAGGATGTTTAATAAACTGCAGAAGTTGACGACTCCACATCAGTGCCCGGCTTGTTCCATATACATTCAACAGCGCGGTCGAGTGTGCAGCTGGTCAAGGACATGGAAGGGCGGATTCTACTGTGCACGCATTTGCGGGTGATCCTGTGTTGGATTTGCTGAAGATTTAAAATCCTAACGCGTCGCGAAAGAGACGCAGACACCCACAGTCCCGTGCCAGCGTTTTGCCACGTTCTACTGGAGTTTCCTGTTCGGTCGGCAGCATGTCAACACCACCCCAATGCCATTGCATACTACACGTAGTAGTCCATGTGGTGTGTAGAGACTCACTTTTGCAAGATGGCCCGATCCACGCCACCTCCACTGCCACCGAGTTCTCTCTCGGCTACGGGCTGGTCCCGCTGGGCTATTTGGTGCCTCTCTTCCCCTAGTGCCGCATGTACCTGCCCGCCGTCATGATCCGTGCCACCAATCCGTCTTCTTACCCCCTTCGCCCCTGGCCTAGTGCGAGACGACCCAGCCTCAGCTGGCCGTACGGAACCTTTGTCTTGAGCAAGAGCAAGGTCGGGGCTGGCCGCCAGCCCCCCGCTTTCTCGACGAGGACCATCGCTGCCGTGCTCCCGAACACGCTCCCCTCCTGCCCCAGCGGGGGCTGCTGCACGGGAAGAAGACTTTCGGCGAGTGGACTTCTTCGAGCCGCCTCCTGCGGCTCCGCTAGGGCGGCTTCCCCGACGGCGAGGCTTCTCATCTGCTGGTTCTCGGTGTCGGTCTCGAGAAGGATCCAGCGGGCGACCTGCATCCTCCGACATATCAAACGTGCAGAGCACCTATTCGTGCTGGAACTCTCACTCCTTCAAAGCGTCCACCGCAAGCCTTAGGGAACGCACGTCCTAATAATAGATATCTTGGGTGATCGACAACAGATCCATGTACGAAGATGCACCAAACATGTGTACGTACCAGGTACCACTGATAAGGATTTTGATGAGTAAATAACGGTCGGCATATTACCAGGGGGCACGCAGATAAGAACAAAGTCACCCCCCGCGGTTGGAAATCTGTCTGCGCCTGTCCTGTCCGCTGTGTGGCGTGTTTGCATTTGGCTCTTGTCGTGTGTATCAACAGCTGAGGCTGAGAGAGATCTGACTTGGGGTGTGGTAGCCCAGGTGAGTGGCGTCCGTGAGGTGGTTGCCGTGCGCGTTGTCTATTTCGGAGCGGTGCCCTCCAAATATGGAGAGAGCAAGAGCAAACGTTCTCGTCTCATCGTTCCTCGAGATGCCTTCAATCTCTCTCGGTGTAGGAGGGCCGCCCACACCCGCTGCCGCTGCTGCTGCTGCTGCTATCTACTGCTCTTGGTGTTTATTGGCCACACAATCCTGTGTAATAGTGCTCTCCTGCAGTAATGGAGACGCCAGGCAAGGATTGCTCATGCTCATGCCTATATCTCAACCAATGGGATGTGCGGAGCGCTCCTTGTGTGCAAACATCCCCCCGTGTATGTATGTACGTGTGTGTTTTGCACATGTTCGGTGCACCAACCCCACAGCTCTGAACGTTAACCTTAACCGTTGCTACAGCAGTACTTGTAGCAGCAGCGGCAGTGCCGTACCTTGGCACGTGGCCTTGGTTGGCATCCTTCCGCTGGGTCTTGCAGTTTTAGAGCTCGTTGTAGTTTGACTTTCGTGGCGATGTCGCGTCGTGCATGCATGTGCAACAGAGTGCGGTGCGCCAAAAATCCCTGGTGCATGGTATAAATGGAGCTGTAGCCCGAGCAACTGCCTCCTGTGTAAGAGACTACTGCTGAATACCGTACAGCAGTATCAGCGGTCCCAGTGTAATGGCCGCGTATACAAGGCCGGTGAAATCGAGTGACACAGGTGGCGTCCTAAACTTTGCAGTTTGTCTCACATCTCTGAATTCTGAAAGGTGGCCTGATATCCGGCAAGCCTGGCCAACATGTCTCATCAATCCCAACATGTTGGGCATACGCTGAACGCTACGCTACGTGTGTACATCAGCATGTACGCGGCCACATAGGGACCACTGCGGCCCCGCCAGTTTATAGGGAAGAAAATATCTGCAGTAGCAGCGGGAGCAGCAGGAACGACAATTTTCGTTTGTCTTACGCACAAGTACGGCAGTAGAAAATAGTACTTTCAAGACAGAGCAAAAGAGCGGAGCAGTGGTTGGAGAGAGACGGTTAGAGGGAGGGAGGTCGAGTGTGAGCTTGTTCCGTCGAGTTGTTGTACAATTACATGTAACGTGTGTCGGGCACGGGTTGCTGCTGTGGAACAATCGGCGATCAACTATTTACTGTTGCCCATCTCTGTTTCAAGTTCCTATTGCCGGGAAGGCCTTTCGTCATTCCACGTCTGGTCTCTTCTCAACGGCTGTAGTGCCGCGTGACGTCATCATTCATTCGTCAAATCTGTGAAGCATAGCAACCACTTAATGGAACGATTCCCCACGCTGTCCGTTGACTAAACAATGAGTTCGGCTGCCCAACTGCGTGTCGTCTCGGTTCCGAACCTGTTGTGTACTCGTAAAGCTTGTTGGCGCCTGCCTGCACGGCTGGCTGCAGAAGGGTACCGAAAATGTTGCTGTCTGCGTCGCCCCCATCCGTATCGGCCACGTCCAACTTGAATCGACGAAACCCACTATTCTATATAAATCCCGGGTGTCTATACACCGCCGAAACTGAACTTGTCGCCGCTTGTGTTCCCCCTCTCAGCGCGTGGAGGCAGCGCGGCAGCAGCAGCAACACCGGCGCTGTAACGGTTGTGTGAGCACAGCAGCAGTAGTGGTGAGGTGACCATGGCTGTACAGCAGCAGCAGCAGCAGCGGCGGCGGCATCGGCCGGGGTGCGGCCAGTCGCCCCGGCAATCAGACCGGTCACCGGCGGCCGCGGCGACGGTAGTCGTTGCGGCGCTCGCTCTGTGCGCGAGTTTGGTGGAGGTCTCCGAGGCGTTTCTGTCGCCCGCGACGGGGCGGTTGCCGTTCGCGGCGCAGACAACCTCGAGGGCGGCCGTAGCGCCGGTGGCGGCAAGGGGGTCGTCTTCTGCTGCCGCGGGCCGAAGGGCGGGAGGGATTTGCATGTCGGCGGTGAGAGGATTTGGGGGAATAGTGAGACCGGGGAGGGGGGGGCATGTAGCCGACCGCTGTAGAGCTGTCCCATGTCTGCGTCGCCCCCCTCGTGGTTATAACGTTTTATCGAGGAGCTTTGATGATCAGTCCTGAGAGTGTGCGGCTGGCCACCCGCAGCAGTTTCTTTTCGTGTTTTTGTTGTCCGTTTGCACTGTGTGTGTGCTTTCGAGAATCGCACCGTGCGCGTGCCGTCGTCTCTTCTTTGCTTGCCTCGAAAAGTACCGTTGCAATAGCAGTTGGTGAGATGTTGTGCGTTGCCCCACGTTTGCATCACCCCCAAAACGCCTGCCCGTGTCGTGTTCCTGGGATGCCTGCCTCCTGGCGTTGTCCAGGGCAAGACCATCGAGATGTACATGCCGGCGCTATCGTCGACGATGGAGGAAGGGACGATCGTGCAGTGGCTCAAGGAAGTCGGTGACAAGATCGAGGTGACTGACTGACTGACGGGCTCACGGCGCTGTTGTGGCGTCCACGCCGCAAGAGGACTGGATTTGGTGTTGTCCTCTTACGCCATGAGCTAACGTACTGCGGGTGCATCGGAACGAAGGCCGTCGGTTGTGCCACTGGTGGTTGCGTTGGTCTACTACAGGCTTTCCTCGGAGTCAACATCCTCAGCGTTACCCCCCCTCCCCAGTGTCCATGCTGGTTTTGGTGGGAGAAAGCACCACCACAGCTCGGCGTGGTATGCGGGTAGCTCGTACGTATGCATAGAAAACGCACGCCGGCGGGGTGCGTAGTCCTTCTCTCTCAATAACGCACCACGCCGGCGCGTCTTCCACCGTAATGACCATGGGGAGGCATGAAGGCGTCTTGGCATTTCCCCGCAGCCGCCGCTAACCCTAGCACCACCGGTACCCGGAAGTTCCGGTGCAGGAACCAAGAGCCAACGCAACCAACAACGAATGTTTAATATGGCCTTCCCTTCCACAATAGCACTTAAAGATTGCAGATCCTCTATGGCGGATGGTCGGCGACTGTCGGAGTGCGGTTAGCGCAGCCCCGTGCCGACAAACACAGCGTCCTACAACGCGTGACACGCACAACAGTGCTACGACCCCCGCCCGTGGCAAAGTGTCCCGAAGAATCGTCGCCCGCGTCATGTGGTTAGTTACGACGTCGAGCGCGTTGCCTGCCCCTGCCTCCCTTTCGAAAACCACGCGATCGCGCTTAGGTGGGAGACCCCGTGATGGTGGTGGAGTCGGATAAGGCTGACATGGATGTGGAGTCGTTCGAGGAGGGGTACCTGGCGGCCGTGCTGACGGAGGAGGGGGACAGCGCCAAGGTCGGGGCAGCCGTCGCCCTCATCGTTGAGAGGTACGTACGTCTATCGTCTATCGAGGGAAGCAGCAATGAGTCGGGGCCACGGCGGCGATATTTCAGTTGAGCTGGTGGGTGTGGCTGAAGCCATTTTCGAACGCTGTTGGTATGTCGGTGAGAGAGGTAGCGGAGTGTTGCGACTCTAGCCGGCGCTGTGTTGAGCTCTAGCCGGCGCTGTGTTGCGACTCTAGCCGGCGCTGTGTTGAGCGCAAGCGGGAACGTGACACCGACGGCCGCGATCATGCTCGTCCCCGAGAATTGACCTAATAGATAGGCCAGCAGTAGATAAGACCCGCAGCCGCTCTTCACTATTGCTGGACAGTTCGTCGAACTTGCCGACTTGCTCGTTGGACATGCATAGCATGTACTCAATATTTGCGTTTTTTCATCCAGGTGGGATCCTAGCACCCAACCCTGACAGAAATCGTGACTATTTTGTCCCGCATCCTCCCGGGCTTCGGGCCACGGGTGGTTGGGGAAGTACCCCGCTGCTACCTGCTAGCCGGAAGGGTTTTCGGTTCACTCGAGTCACGCATGGGTGTTTCGCTCGAAACGGAGTTAGGGTGTTTCGCTCTCCCGCGGTCGGCATTTTGCGCTTGTCGTACCCAGAGCGCTCGTCCACTCCTCTTCATGCATCCGACGCCGGCGTTTGCCCTTGCCGCGTGAATTTCGCTAAGCGTTGTCCACCCTTTTCCACTCGTCCGCTGTCGGGATTTTGCGCCTAGACAGCCTGTTGACTCGTTTTCACGCATCCGCTGTGGGCATTTGCTCTATTGTATTTGTTGTTACCCGTGGTGCAGTGAGGAGGACATCGCCGCTGCCCAGGCGGCGGGAGCTTCGGCTGCCGGTGGAACAGCGCCGGCGGAGTCTGCGGACACGGCCGCCGCCCCCGGTGCGTGCGGACTTTGTCTGGGGACGCTTTCGTCGTTGGCATGGATTGGCTGGCGCTTGGTGGAATTGTTGGCCTCGTGCATGGTGTTTCGATGTAGGGGGGTTGCTCTACAGGCCGGTGCATTGTGTGTACCCGCGTCTGTGGTTAGTTAGCGTTGGCATAGACTGTGGTTCAGTGCAGTAACCGGTTAACCAACGAAAGCATGTCAGTCTTTAGCGGGTTAACATTAATCCTGGTTCCGCGGAAGGAGACCGAAATGCAAAGAATGGAAGCCTTGTGTGTGTGTTTTGCTTTTGTATCAGTGGCGGCGGCGGCGGCGGCTCTGGGGTCAAGGATGACTGACACGCTTTGCCGAAGACCTTTTATTACGCGTACACTGCGCTGCGCTAGCTGCGTGTGTGTCTGTGATTGGCATCTACCGTGCTTACCGGCCGATGAAAGTATTCGTGTGTTGCACATGTGCGGTGCCTTACCCCTAGCTAACCCCAGACCTTTATTTTCTTGAGCAGCCGGTGGCGGAGGCGGTGCCGCAAAGCCTGACGTGCCCTTCAAGGAGATCGGGATGCCAGCGCTGTCTTCCACGATGACGGAGGGCAAGGTAGTGGCGTGGCTCAAGCAAGAGGGGGACAAGGTCGAGATGGGAGAAGCGGTGCTGGTGGTGGAGTCGGACAAGGCGGACATGGACGTGGAGTCATACGATGAGGGGTACCTCGCGGCCATCATCACCGGTGAGTGCAGTCTGCGGTGCCCCCAATAGAGAAACACCGGGCAGCTGCAGCAGCAGCAGCAGCAGCAGCAGCAGCAGCAGCTATGGCTTGGGTGTGCGTCACAATTCGCTGCCGCCGGCGGGACTGTGCAAGCGTGTTTTGTCGCCTTCATTACTTTCGAGATAAAACAGACGGACGTCGTTGTCGAGGGACTCCCCCCCTCTTGTTGCTCTCCTCTTTCACCCTGGCATACTTTTGGGAAAACAGGCGAGGCATGAGTACGGTACCCAACCAACCTAGCCGGCGTTGTTTTGCTCTTTTCATCGGACCAGACGGGCCTCCCCCCAGATACTCCGCGCGCCATTTTGACGCGTCCGATGATTGGCTGTGGAAGGACTCCCCCCCCCCCCCCCGCATCTCGGCTCGTTGCTATTTTCGTACATGCTATAATACCCCTCTCACTGTTGGTGTCATCCCGTGCGCTTCCTTTTTCGTGTGCGTGGTTCGGCAGAAAAAGAAGAATCCCAGGGTGTCGGCGGCCCCCTCGGTCTCCTGGTCCACACCCAGGAAAAAATCCCCCCCGTGCAGGAGTAACCCCAAGGCCCTCAAGAGCGGGGGGGGGGGTGCTGCAGCCGCGTCCGCCCCCTCCGGCCGCCGAAGCCGCCCCGGCCGCTCCGGCACCGGCGTCTGTCTCCCGGTGAGAGGGTTAAGAGACGGCTTTGATGAGAGAGAGAGAGAGAGAGAGAGAGTTATGAGAGGGTGGGCGGTGGCAGACATGGGTGTGGTTTGTGATGTCGGTACTCCCCCCATTCCATTTTTGGCTTGGTTCAACATGCCCTAACCCTCCTCCCCCTCTCGCACAGGCGGAGCCAGCACCCCCACCATATCCTCCAACGGGAGTTGGTACCCCCCCCCCTCTACGTTTTTTTGCATTCAACATGCCCCAATTCTCCTCCCCGTCTATTACATTCGCAGCCAGCCCCCCCCTCCACATCCTCCAATGGGCGTTGGTACCCACACCCCCATCGCCTTTTTGGCTCACATGTACTCATCAACGTCCCCTAACCCCACCTCCTCGCGCAGGCGGAGCCAGCACCCCGGCCGCTTCCTCGGACGGGCGTGTGGTAGCCTCAGGTCTCGCGAAGAAGAACGCCGGTGCCCAGGGCATCGACCTGTCGGCTCTCTCTGGCACGGGGCCAGGCGGCCGCGTGGTCGCTCGCGACGTGGAGGCTGGAGCCAAGGGCGGGGCTGCGGCGGCGGCGGCGGCTCCAGCGAAGCCGGCGTGGACGCCTGGACCGGGGGTAGTGGCGGCGACTCCCACGTAAGCATGTGCATGTGATGATGGGTTTTTGGCCCTCCTCTCGCTCGGGTCGTGGTAGTGTTGTTGGTGCTCTGCTTCATTTGTTGCTCTGGTAGCGCTGGTTGTTGTTGTTGTCGTCGTCGTCTTGACATTAGCAACCGTTCCGGTCTCGGCAAAGCATCTTCAAGCTTCCGTGCCGGTCCATTAGGTGGGCTCCTTCCGTGGTCACAGGCCTTCAACCGAAAGCAAAACGGGTATACCACACTTGTAGAAATCAAGCTGGTCAAGTTTTTTGTTTGTTTTTGTTTCTGTTGTTGTTTGGTGTCGCTTTTGGTTGGGCTGCGGTGATGGGTACCTTGGCAAGGCCGTGGCTTATTGTAGTCGGAGCATTTGGACGCGACGATTTCTACATGTTCCCCGCTTTTCAGCGTTTTGTTTTTGCGAGTCATCGAGGCGATGTTGTCCCTGGCCGCGCATTGCAATAATTCACGGAGCCCACGCCCCGTTCATGCTTCCTTATCTGCCGCGTCTTATGCCCTCGGGTGACGGTGTTGCACATCAGTGGGAACGGCCAACTCACGGTTCCGACCATCAATACGTACCTACCGTTCGCTACGAGCATGCACCTCGTATGATTAGCATTGCTCCAACCAGCACCATAACCTGAGGCCGCCGCCTTCATCCCAACGACCCACGGCAGTCAAATTTCCTTTTCAATCCGCACCCCCCCTCTGCACCCCCTCCCTACCGCTACATACATCCCGGCGCAACGTCAACGCAATAAAAACCACAAGCAGCGCCCGATGTCAATCCGCGCTGTCCCCCCCCTCCCTATCGCTATCTACCCCGCCGCAACGTCAACACAATAAAAACCACGAGCAGCGCCCGAGCACTCGCCAAGAAGAAGGGGGTCAACCTGGCCACGGTTTCGGGCACCGGCAACTTCGGTCGCGTGACCGAGTCCGACGTGCTTGCCTCTCTCGGAGAGGCCCCCAAGGGTAAGGCCTCTGCCGACGCCGACGAGGGCTTGGCCATGCGGGAGGAGCCCGACCTGCCGGACGGTCCTAAGGTGACATCTTTAGTGTGTCGCTAGAGAGAAGGGTTCGGGTTTGGGTCGTGTGGAGGGAGGTGTGTGGGCGTTGTTGGTGTCTGATTGCTGTGCGTGTGAGGAGGATGTAGAGGGAGGCGTGTGTTGGCGTTGTTGGTGTCTGATTGGTATTTGTGGGGGTGGGGAGATAGAGAGGTTAGCCGCCTGGCCGCCGGAGGGAGGGCGGTGGAGGCCGGATATTCACCATGTTACCATGGATCATACGAACTCTTCGTGTTGTGTTGAGGTTTCTGTAAGCACCCTACCATCTATTCGCCCTGTTTACTTGCTGCAGGAGTACTTGCTCTGTCATAGCGTGGTAGCGGGAACACTTCGTGCTTGGACAACCCCTACGGCATTCCGCCTGCTTCCATTCGTGCATCTTTGGTCGTACGCATGGGCGATGTGGCTTTTTGTTGTGGGCCAAGCTTCATGGCCTTTTTGCTCGTTTTGTTTGTCGGGAACCACCTACCTACTGCAACCAAGCGCTTGCCGTGCTTGTTGCTGCTCAGTATCCGTACGCGTTTTGCAGTAATTTGCTTGATGATGCTTGGTACCTCTCTGGTCTGAGTTGCGGGGGGCACGCGACTGTGAATAATGGATTGCGGGTGGGCGAAGTGGTCTATACCGAAGCTTCGTTGCTATTTTGGCCAGACCTGACGAACAGTCTAGCGGCGAAGTCTAGCCACGAGCAGCCTCATTTTCTCACGAACAAGCTGCCTCCCGTTATCTGCTGCTGCTGTTCATCTCTCGGAATGCAGGCCATGGATGGCATGCAGAAGGCGGTGGCGAAGAACATGGAGGCCACGATGGACGTGCCCGTGTTCCGAGTTTCCCGCAAGATCAGGACCGATGCCTTCGACGACATGTACCGGCAGCTCAAGCCTAAGGGGGTCACGGTGCGGAGATAACATGAGATAGCATGCGTATTCCTCTACTGTGCGACTTGAGGGATGCAAATTCTGATGGTATATATCTTGACTGGTACCAAGTATGTTTCGCATGTGATGACGGAGAAGAAGGTGCACGGAAGTATCGTCTCAAGAGAAGTAGATATCCCCGTATCTGTTGTGAAGCTACGGGCCCGAAAGTGGTCGAATCGCGTCCGTAGTTTTGACATTACGCGGGGAGTCAAACCTCCCAATCGAAGTACTTGCCGTTTTGGTACTCGAAACCTGTGAATTGATTTTCTTGAGCATTCGGGTATTTCCCATCACTGAACATGATGCGTGTTCGGATATTTATTCGGACCACGCATACGATTTATCGTTTCTTTTTCGTCGTGGGTGGTCAGGTCTCAGCCATGCTCGCCAAGGCCTGCGCTCTCGTGCTGGAGGACTACCCGATCGTGAACGCTCGCTACGAGCCGGGGCAGACGGTCTACCAGAAGGACATCAACGTTGCCATGGCCGTCGCCATCGACGGAGGGCTCATCACACCGACCCTAAAGGTCAGCCTATTATATTATAGTCGCGGAGTTTATTCTGTCTTCCGAATGTGGAGATTGAACCCCTTCGTAGAGGGCACGCATAGACTACAACCTGCTTGTACCCGAAGTTTTTTCGAGGCTTGTGGAGACAATCTTAGCGCGTGACGGCCAGCCTTGTCTCGAAGATGTGTGTCTGTGTGTGTGTATGTTTTCTTATTTGGCATCGACCGCGCCATCTGGCCGACCAATGAAAATTCATGTGTCTTAGTACACGGTTAGAAGCAGAAAAATGTTGTAAAGACCATGATCTGGGCCCCCGTGAGGGCGTGGGTGTGTGTGTGTTTTCGTCCGCAATGCCTGTGATGGCAAGAGGTAGGGCATGAATGTCCGCCTTGTCGACGAGATGTAGATTTCACCCCCCCAAGGCCTGTGAAGACAAAACGAGGGTATAGGCTTGGTCGGACCGCCCGTCTGTCTCGCTGTTGTGCGGTACGCCAGCGACGAAGTCGTGGAGTGGAGAGCCTCGCTGCAAGTGTTTTGAGCTAACAATCACGGCAACGCCGTTTCGGTCCGAGCGTCAAGTAGGTATGGATGCGTTCTCCGCACAGAGACGAGAACCATGGTTTCTACGTACTAGAATTATGTTGGTGTTTCGTCACTTCAAATCTATCCCGCCCCTAGACAATTAACTATGTGGTGTATCCTGTGGGTGGGGATTCTTGAGCAACATACGTATATGTTACACCAACAATGGGAAAAACAGCAACCAACGATCTTGGAACATTGTCAATGAAATCGGTGATGGAGCATGCCTACTAAGAATCATTGCCCGTCGAATTTTCAACGACCCCAACATGCACCAACTGGTCAGAACGCAACTCATCGACCACATCAACGACAGCCTCCATAACCCCTTACCAGGCTCTGGACAAAACACTTTTTACGATTCCATCTCTGCTGGAATCAATTCAGAGAACATTCAAATAGCTGGTCAACCTGAACAACCCTACCAAAGTGTCCCGGAATACCTCCATCTCATCTGTTCCAACTGCCTATGCTACCCATGTCGACATTGCAGCTGCCCAACAGTTGTACAACACTATCATAAGAATTACCCTCGTCGGCCAACAACCCTTTCCACCTCCTCCGTCCCATGACACATGCGGTGTTTTGTACGGTGGCGAGCACTACCGAACCTTTCATATATAGTCCATGACATACAGCCCTTTGAGCAATGCGCATGTGGTCTTGCGTCACCCCGGGGGGTCTGACACCCACGTCCCGAAGGGGAATCTTGTATATATGTATGTCATGTCGGGGCACCCGTGTCGACTTGTTTGCTTCTACTCCAGCATGGTCCAGCCTTCACTGCCCTTCTCCTAATCCTCCCTGCCGTGTGCATGTGGTGTATTTGCTCGATCCTGTCATCGCCTACTATGTATTTTATTGCTGCCAGCACAATGCCAACCTCCGCCCAATCCCTCCGCCGTGTGATATACCTTCTACCCTGTCGTTGACGATCACTGGTGCCACCAGAACGCCAACATGATGAGCCTGCTGGGTCTGTCCAACAAGTGGAGGGACCTCGTCGGCAAGGCGAAGGCGAAGCAGCTCAAGCCGGACGAGTACACCGGCGGCACCTTCACCATCACTAACCTCGGCATGTTCGGTGAGGAGCAAGCGAGGACCCTCGTGTTCTGGAGTTGTTGTCGTCGTTGTTGTTGTGGCAACACATTTAGGGTCGTCATTCAACGTCAACTACCAATTATCGGGCGAAGTTTGAAGATTCGGTTTCAGTGCTCGCCAGCTATATGTTCGAACGATGTCCCTACGAATGATGCAAGTACGCACGTGTGAGGTAGCAGTACGCCCTTGGCTCCGGTGCGTAGTCTCGAGCCTCTGCGTGCCAGTTTGTCGAAACGTCTGAGGCTGTTTGTCTTTTGACGTATGTGTCACTGAAGTTCTTTTGTGATGCGTGGGATCTGCTGGAGGATCTACGAAGTAGCCCGAAAGGTTCCGGGTTGCTGGGTCCCATCACCCTTCTCCAGCAGAGATGGCAGCCGTTTCCTGCTCTCAATAATCAATAATAGACGTAGAAGACGACCGATGCGAGAAAAAACAAACGCAGACGAACGTTGCATCAGAACATCTTTTGTCTTTGGATGCGGTCTTCTGGTTGTGGTCCGACTCGCTCAACTGTTTTCTTCGTCCTCGTTTGCTGGAAAGTCCATGGTTCATGGCTGTTGCCGTCCTTCTCACAGTTTTGATTTGCTATCAACCCTCATACTCACACACCCTCACACTTGTACCTGTCGAGCATTGTGAGGCATGAAGATACCTCAGTAGGAGGAACGCAACCCTGCCGCTGCGTGATGGCAACAATGCTTCCCCCCGCACTCGAACTATAATTTAATTTTCTCTGCAGGTGTGTCTGAGTTTGCCGCTATCCTTCCGAGCAAGATGGGTGCCATCCTCGCCATCGGCGGGTCTCTTCCTACCGTAGTCCAGAAGCCAGACGGAAGGTGACTCGACCAACTTGTGACTTGAGACACTTGATTGGGGTAATAGTTGTAGATTCACAAGTAGTGTTCCGCGTGTAAGTGTGTTTCGCCCGAAACGTTCCCCTTCTTTTTGAAACATTCGCCATGAGGGTCGTGGCTGACTGCCACACACCAGTCTGTCCGACCACCTTGCGTGTGACCACGCGTCTGCAGCCTTGTCCCAACCGTCCGCTTATCCTTCCTATAGGTACGAATGCCCTTCCTCTTGTTATCGTACAAATTTGCAACAAATTCCCATCCCATTCGTTCTGTTTGTCGCCCATGCGCGCGCTTGCAGCTTCACCACTGTCAAAGAGATGACCGTGACCATCACGTGCGACCACCGACACATCTACGGGGCTGACGCCGCCTTGTTCCTGGGAGGGCTGGCCGACCTTATGGAGAACAACCCGTTGCAGCTCTTGGTTTAGTCGCCTTCGTCGACGTCATGGTCGTCGTTGTCGTCTCCATTTAGTATAGATAGTTCACATATAGACGAAAGGAAAGGGCTGCATGAGCCCCTCGCCCCTGGGTGGTGTTGCACATCCTCGCTGCCGGCATCCTTTTTGTGCTCTTGGA